TGGACCGCGGGTAGAAGTTGCCTTCGGGCCAGCCCGGGTTGGTGGGTCCCACATCCCCCCGGGCCTGGGCTGCTCCGCTGGAACGCAAATTTTTTTTTTCCTCTAGCCTCGGGCTGGGCTTGCTGCTGGAGTGGCTCTTAGGGTTTGGGAAACTGCAAATTTGCTCCTCAAAACTGTTCAGCAAATCCAACTCCCGATTGTAATTGGAATTAGGGATGGTCATGCTACAGCGATTGCTTTACCCTAATATGAGGTAATATCTCTCAACTATTGCATCAAATTATCCAATTTGATCAAATGGCTAATTAATATCATTCAGCGATTAAGAGATAGAGTTTCATCTAATGGCCTTAGAATAAGGCCCTCACTATAGAATTCTTGATTAGGAATGACATAAACCCCTGAGGCCCCTGCTTGCCATCCCCTATTGGGGATGGGTTGGGATGATATTGTTATCCTTCTCCATCCTCATGCCGGACAAGTAACATATTTATTTTTAGTAAATATATAATCTAATATAGTCATGTTCTATTCCTATCATCTTCGAATGCGCTTCCGCACATGCAAGATACATTTTTTTAATCACAAGAAATATGCGTGACTTTCAAAATTTTATTGGTTATTTCAATTTAGTACCCTAAGGCCACATTTGTTACACATGATTATCTTGGCATGCACTATACTTAGGAATTATCTTGGCTTGGCTTGGTCTAAGTGGGATTAGGGGTGGGCACAGTTCGGGTTAGACCGGTTTTTGCCTCAAATTACAACCGATCTGGTACTATTCATCCAGTTTGGTTTGGTTCGGTTTTAATAAAAAAAAATTTCAAAAATTGTTTGGTTCGGGTTGAACCAGTTCTGGTCTAAAAATTATTTTTTAATACAATTGTCAACTGAAATATTATTATTTTTACTTGAAAATTAACAAATTATTCAATTTCATATAAAAATAAATATTAAAGTTAGAAAGAGAGATATTTTGAAATTGAACTTGGATAAGTATTAGTTTTTTTTTTGTTAAATTAAAAATATAGCATTAAATATAAATATATATATTTTTAATTTGATTGGTTCGGTTCGGCCCGGTCCGATTTTTGAAGACATGGAACCGAATCCAAAACCGGTCCAAATCGGTCCGGTTCAGTTTTTGACTGGTTGTTGACTTTTTGGTCAACTCGGTTTTTTGCGGGTTTGGTTCAGCTCGGATTTCGGATTCACTGGTTTGAGTGCTCACCCCTAAGTGGGATAACACTTATCATACGTTTGGTGTATGGGTTGGTTTGTCAAAATAAATGGGCTATCCTCAACAAGTGTTGAACTATTTTTGTTGAGGTGTTGGGCTAATTTGGTTAAGCTAATAAGTTATTTCCTCTTTTGTGCTCACCCATATGTTTGGACTTAAAAAATGGGCTTGAGTCCCGAGGCTCCTAAGCAAC